CCGGTGAGATTTGAACAGCCGAACTGCAGAACTGCAGTCAGCTGAAGTAGCCTGCAGTGCTGCATTTAACCACTGCGCCACCTCGGCTCTATTACTTGTTGATGTTACCTAGTTTGGTAATGAAATGCCTGCAAGAAAACCACCCAGGACCCCACAATTCCTTCTCAAACTCTCATATGTAATAAACATGACCAGGGAACAGCTCTCCTCCACGTGTTCATCTTGTTGTTTGGAGACTCAACACTTGGAAGACTCAGTATTACCCTCAAATACCAGTTACAAGGGAAAGGAATAGGCATCCTATCTTTCCCAGAAGCATTTGGTTGACTATGATGAAAAACAAAACCCTGGGCGAGAGGAATCATTACGGAAACAAGAGAAATCAAGACACCAAAAGCTGCACACAGCTTAATGGATGAGAACAGAAATTCCTTCTGAATCAGAAAAGTTATTTTGCCCTGGAAACCACTAATTTCAGATTTGCTTCACTTTGCTTTACTCTTCCCAACACAGTGATCATTGAATTCGAGAGCTCCTTGAACTAGACACTACTCCAATAGATCCAGAAAAAGCATATAAGTAACATAAATCACGTCAAAAGTGGTATTTCACCAAGGCATTTCAGAATTTTGTTAATCACAATTCTCTGCAGCTCCAGTCAGCCTGGCCAATGGTGTGAAATGTTAGGAATTGGAATTTAGTAATGTGAAACATCGTAAGTTTCTCAGTCCAGCTACTATTGTGATTGCACAATATTCATGGTCTTATTTTTATTCTCTCTTGCACAATCCTAACCCTTACCTTAACCTCCACCACCCCCACCCTCACCCCATAGAAGGTAAACAGAAGGTAAAAAGTTGTTAAACATCTCTCCCCTCACCCAAAATAGCAGATATTCTCGTGTTTAAATGAAAACAATGCATTAGTTATGTTTACATCTCATTCTAGGAGACGAGTTCCCCTCCGTTCTCTTACCTCTTTACATCTCCGTGGATAAGGCTAGGAGAGTCACTGTGCAGAAACTGAATAGCTCTGGCAGTGCCCAGAGCCACATGGAGTCGTTGTGTCCAGGAGAGGCAAGCATCAACCTAAGAAATTCAAAATAGTTTCAAGGACAGGAGTGATCCTGAAGGACTTGTTTGCAAGAACAGACCACTTTTAAATAGAGATGACAAATTCAGCTAGGTACCTGGCCATGTAAATGATCTTCCAGGGATCCCTTGGGCAGGAAGACGTAGACAAGGCAGAAACATCCCTGTTCAGCACAACAACCAGCAAACTCTACAATGTTAGGATGGCGAAACCTAAGTTACAAGTGAGACAATATTAAACTACGGTAGTTTCAACACAACCCACCCTTGTTCCCATGATTCTCTAGCACTGCCTTCTCCAATTTGGCACACACCCACACACACACACCCCTAATATGCTGGGTTTGGGGAGATGAAATCCAACACATCAGAAGGACACCAGGGGAAAAAAAAAACCAACCTGTTATTTCATTTCTGGGGTCCCACAGTACATCCAAAATAAACTTTGATTCTTACCGGGAAAGTTTTTCCACTTCTGTGACAAAACTGTTCTTTATTATAGTCCAGTCCAGTTCTGCTTCCTGTCAGTTAGTTTAAGGGAGATTTTAAAAAAAGGAAGGAAGATATATAAGTCATCGTTAGCTGGACTAAGTGAAAAAAGGATTCTGAGGGGTACAAAGTTGCAGGCTCAGCAACTAAGGATCAAATGTAAATGAAAAACACATCCATGTCACACTGAAGGATGACTAGATCTGTTTTGGCCTATCTCCGTGGCTACCACGCCCTTGGGCTGCAAAGAGCTCGCGCCCAATCTTATTTTTAGAGGTGCAGGAGCCAAGTCTAAGAAATTTTATGATTCATCGTTCCGTGGATTAGTTGAGAGTGGAAATGAAAACGAAAAGCCAGTGGAAATGAACATAAAATTTTTAAAAAGTGTGAGCATTATGAGTTGTAATACTGAATGGAAATACCTCCTTGAGCCGTTTCACAGCATAGACAGTGTTGCGTAATCGGGCCTGGTAGACGCAGCCGAAACCTCCTTCACCAATCTTGAGATGTTCAGAGAAGTCGTCTGTAGCTTGGCGCAACTCTTCTAGCTGCCACTCAAAAGGGCACGTGGAGGGCAGAGATTCAAGGCCCTGGAACAGGGTGGGCAGACATACCATAAAACAGAACAAAAGGGCATCCCTTCTCTCCAAAGCACAATTAACTCTGAAGCCTAAGCATTTTAATCAGGAGCGAATTTAATCTCCTCTGGCTGCTGATTTCTTCTCCCGCTCAAATGGAGGAATGGAAGCAGCAAGCTTTCAATGATCAAAAAATCACGTCTGCTTCAGGTCAGTTGGAAGTAAGTTAGCAAAAAGCGGCCTCAGAGAAACTCTAATCCTGGTTGCAGATAAACAAAATGAAAGCGATTAAATGAAGATACTTAAAAATGTACACTGAGGCTTCAGGTGAGTAAGGAAAAGGTATAGGAAAGAAAGGCAAAGCGCTGAAAGCTGAAAATACTTTTTACACAGCAAAGTTTAGTGACTCTTCCCAAATCCTAAAAAGTAGATTTATGTTACATTCATAAACATTAAGCTAGGGAAAATGAATAAGCGTGCCAAACCCCACCAAGTATTTATGACAGAAATTCCTGATTTCTAAACCAGGAACCTTGATTTAGGGGTCAGACTCTTAGACACCTGTTCAAAGTTAAGGACGTACTGTACATGTTGGAAGAATTAGAAAATTAGAAACGAATGGGATTAAGAGGTTAAGGTATAGGTAGTCCTCGTTTAACAACTACTCATTCTGTAACCATTCAAAGTATTGGTTGAACGAAGCACTGAATAAATGTACTCGTGGCACGACAAAACCGCGCTCGGCTAAACCGCGCCCGATTAAACCGCGTTGCTGACGTCATCAACAGGGCGACAACAGCCAGCGCGGAGAAAGAAGGGCGCTTTAAATAGCGCTTTGA